GATAGGGGAGAATGGGGAGTTAGTGTTTAATGGGTGGAGTTTCAGTTGGGAAGTTGAAAATGTTCTGGAGACGGGCAGTCGGTAGTGGATGCGCAACAATGAGTTCAACAATATGAATGTACCTAGTGCTACACTTAATGCCCATTTAAAAATGGTTAAAGTGAAGCCCTGGCTGGTGTAGCTCAGTGCATTGAGCACAGGCCTGAGAACCATACCATCATAGTTCGATTCCCAGTCAGGGCACATGCCTGGGTTGCAGGCCCGTTCCCAGCCGGGGACTCACGAAAGGCAACCACACATTGATGTTTCTCTCCTTCTCTCCTTCCCTTCCCCTCTAAAGATAAATAAATAAAGTCTTTTAAAAAAATAGAAAAAACATTTAAAAAATGGCTACAGTAGTCCATTTTATGTTATATAGTTTACAATAAAAGAGATAAAAGAAAACAAAATACTTAAACGTGTCAAATTCTTCTCACACATGCCTATTTCACTACCCACCAAACCAATACCCTATAAGTGGTTAGTTAAGTTCTAATGTAAATGTTTACCATGTGCCCCAAGAAAATAAGGAACAAAGTTTAAATTTTTTCTAATCCTAAAGAGTTTATTTCCTCAGAATAAAGACCTTTGCCAGATGTAGATGCTAACAGCTATTATATGTCTAGTTCACATTAAATAAATTACTACAGAAACCAAAATGCCTATAAACTTTGTATTTCAAGCATGATTAGTTTTATCCCTAAAACCTTTATCCTTCATTTTTCTTCCAAAGCTTCATAAAGACTATTTTCATTTTTACCAACAAAATCTTCAGCCAGAATGCCCCCTCTCCCCAACTCATAAGAGCTCATCTTTACTAATTGGTAGACATACCATCTGTACAGTAATCAGCATTCTTTTAGTTTCCACTGACTTCAAGTATAAATATTGGAAACTCGTTTACAAATCTCACTCCTTTAAAAAATTGTTCACATGAGTAAAATGCAAGTTTGAAATATCTTAGGCCAAATTTTAAGGATCCTCTAGTCAATCTCCAGTGTTTCTTATAAGAACTTCGATTTTGCAAACTGTCACAGAAATTAATGTTCATGAATGAACTAGCCAACCAGGTTTTGTTTTCAGGTCCCCTTTCCTTCACTCTTAAGTGTTAAGCAGACAAAAATCTGCCTTCAAAGGTAGATAGATTCTGATAGTTTCCATGCTATAAACACTATGTTCCAATTCATTTCAAACCATACCTGTTCATAAACATAAAACAAACAGATGAAAATTTAAAGGAGCACACAGTATCCATATACCTAAAAAAGCTGAAAGGTCTAGTTTAGAGAATATAGGTTGATATTAAAAACTAGTCCTTAATTCATTCTGATGGAAAGAGAAAAGTACTGTTAAACAACTGTGACCATCATATACATTTTCTGTGTGTACTGTCTGAAAACAAAAATGCACGCAATAAATTACTGAGTACTGTTTCTTCCAAATATCATTTTTACATGTAAGTTAATGGTACCGTCTCTTCCACTAGATCTACTTCCTAAAACTAAGACTGTACAATTTGTAATTGTCCTTGCATACAACAGGTACATCTAAATATTAACAGAAAAAAAATAAAAAATACAGACCCAGACACCTTAAAGTTTCTCTGGCATTCAGTTTTCCTACTCATCAGTGTAAGAGGTCCTCCTGATAATAAGTTTCTTTTCATTTATTCATAGCTATTCATATTAAATTAAGCCCTTTATAAAGGAGAAAGGGTATATCTGGTCACAGACTAGTAACTTCTATAAGTATGAACTCTCCCATCCCACAATTTATAACACAAAATATTAACAAATATGACATTCTACAAAAAATTATTATATATAGACATAAAAAGATCCATTGAAAAGGACTTCATCACCTGGTCATGAATCTTACCTTTCAGCAGGGGCAGAGGTGTTAACTCAATAGGCTTGCCTTGGGACCTAAACTGTGAGGAACTTTGTGACCTCTTCTGTCTGGCTTTTCTGACGGACTTCCGAGAAAATCCGTCTACTTTATCCACTGATGGAGGAGTAGTTGGTGCTGAGGACATATCCCTACTGAAGAGAAAGAGGTATCATAAACATATTCCCAAGGCAAAAGCACACAAGATGGGCCCCCCCCCAAAATATATGGAACTATCTTCTGGAGGGCAGGCCCGTTGTAGTACAAGCCCTCCCTGCTAGGTGAGTGTTCTAGGAATCCATCTCCAGCAGTGTACAAGCTGGCATCGTTGTGAGAGGCTGAGCTTAGCCTCAGTGTGATTTTTTTTTTTAAGATTCTCTCAACACATTCACCTATTTCATGATGGATGTTTTACAAGTGCACCTGCCGACACTGCACTGAGTGCTCAGTTTTTGACCAAAAACGGCATGACCCCCATGCCGCACCTTCCGTATTCACCCGATCTCATCCCAAATGATCTTTTAAAAATTTCCCCAGATGAAAAAAGTCCTCAAGGGGAAACTTTTTGCCCATATGGAAGAGGTGAAACAAAAGACAGCAGAAGCACTAAAAGGCATCAAAACTGACAAGTTCAAAAAACTGTTTTCAGCAGTGGAAAAAATCTCAGTGGGTGCATTAAATCCAATGGAGAGTTCTTTGAAAGTGACTGAGGCTTAAACATGGAAGAATAGATACACAATCTTTTATAAATAAATTCCAGGGTTTGGGGGGAGGGTCCCCTCTCATACATGTGAGATACAAAAATTCTAAAACTCCCATACACAATATTCATGAAAATGGGGATATGTAATAAAGAAAAGCAAATAAAATCCATTAAGAAAAGTCACATTCAATGAGAAAAACATAAAAATTTGGTGAAAAGTAGAAGTAATATAACTATGCTATTACTGGGATAAGCATTAAAGATGCTCATTCAGACCTGAAGAACTGTTATGTACTCATTTTCTAACTATGAAGCTCTTCTCTTCTTGAGATTCCTGAAGTACTGTTGGAGCTATTCTGCAGCTGGAAAACTTCCACTGATACATCTTCCCAAGATATTTAATATTATGAATGGGCTCTGCAGTTGAAACCCTTATTGCACTTCAAGAATCTACACCAATGTATCACAGCAAGTAAAATTTACAATTACTGAAACTATCTAGCATAACTTTTAACAATTAGCTATGATAAACTATACCACACTGAGAACAGGCTGGATTACTTTAAACAGAACATATAAAAGGCATAATTAAAATAACTTCAGCCCTGGCTGGTGTGGCTCAGTGGACTGAGTGCTGGCCTGTGAACTGAAAAGTTGCTGGTTTGATTCCCAGTCAGGGCTCATGCCTGTGTTGCAGACCAAGTCTCCTTTTGGGGGCATGGGAGAGGAACCCCATTCCATGTTTCTCTCCCTCTCTACCTTCCTTCTCCTCTCTCTAAAAATAAAATCTTTTTAAAATTTCATTTCAAATATGTCTTCTTTTCAAATGAAACCATCTTAAATTATCATGGCTTGATAAACAACACAACGACAAAATTGTGCACCAAAGTTGACATGAAAACAAATTCACAGCCTACTTAGACAAACAAGTTGAGTTCTCTTGAAGTTCACCACCAAATATTAATTTTCATTCCATCAAACTGATAAAACTGAGCATTCTTTTGCATTTTCTAATCTTGTCAAGTTATTTACATGAAGGCTATTTCCTAAAAGTAACAAGTGTTAAGATCAATTTCACTCACTTTTAGCAGATGCCATCATTTGCAGGGCACTGAGGCTCCATGCAAGATTAATGGCAAACTCAAATAGAAATAATGCATTTGGGGGAAATGATGAAATGCAATTACTTACCTGTCATTCCAATCATAAGACAAGTGTTTTTTACTCTCTAAATAAAAGTATAAGGGAGTTTCTTCCTAAGCTTGTAACAATGAAGTTACCTCAATTACCTAGATTCTGACAAAATAGAAGTAACAAAAACAAACAAACAAAAAACCATGATCTTGAGGGTTGGAATTCTGACCTCTTGTTTGGTTCTCTTTTAAAGTCAAAAAAAAGTTTTTAGCCCTAGCCAGTGTGGCTCAGTTGGTTGGAGTGTCATCCCCTTCACAAAAAGGTTGTGGGTTTGATTTCGGGTCTGCCCTCATGCCCAAGTTTCAGGTCTGATCCCAGGTCGGGGCGCCTACCAGAAGATCATCAATCAGTGCTTCCCTCTTTCTCTTCCTCTCTTCCTCTTCGTCTCTCTTTCTGTCTCACTTTATTTCTCTCTCCTTTCTTTCTCTCTCTCCCCCTCTCTCTGGTGTGCCCTGGCATGTTCTCATAGCGAGAATAAAAAATATGTAATAAAAGTTTTTAGAAATCTACCTATTTTAGCCATAAATAAAAAGTGACAGATTCAAAGTGGAATCGCAAACTATGAATGACTACAGGAGGAAGATCACTTAAAATTTTTCATAAAAAAAGCTCCACAACACGTTTGTACGTTGTAAATTTAGGGGCCGCTTTCCCGATTTGGTATGACTTATTTAGATTTCGTGGAACCATAATAACCCAGGATTTCAGTAAATCCTGTTCCTCCACCACTTTTTGTCTTCTTTTTCCTCATCTCCCATTTGTAAAGGTGGTTTATTGACAGCAATTTTTTTTAAAAATCATGTGCCTCTTATGCCCGCGGCCAAAAATACACGTCAATAATCTCAACCCAAAAGCGCCGCAGAACTGAACGTGCAGTAGCAGCGGATCGGTGCAAAGCTCGGGGAAACAGGTTTCGCCCTGGACTAAAGCGCCCAAAGCTTTATCATCCTCTAAGCAGCGGGCACCGGGCATTTGCAAGGCTCAGAATAATCCAAATGGGGTACTGGGATGGAGGGGAATACGGGTTAGAGGTTCGTCAGTAGGGATGGCTCACATATTCCCTTTGCTCCTACCCACCCCCCACCCCAAGCCCTTAAGAAGCTGCTTCAGAATTCTTCTCACAACACCAATCCCCTTTTTTCTCCCCGCCCCACCAGTGGTTAAGGGGTACAAGAAAATGCCTCTAATGCCGGAAGGAGAAAAGGGGGAAGGACAGAGTAAATGAGAGGCATCATCAGAAGCATTTGCAGGTAAATCAGCAAGTGGGACGGGCCCTCCCTCTCCTGCACCCCACCCCACCCCATCTCACTCCTCGCCTGCCCGGGCCAGGCCTTCCTGACTCCGGTGCCCTGCAGGTTTCCCTGGAAGACCCGGAGAAAGAAGGAAAGCGGGCGAGCCGCGGAGCTGGAGGGACGAAGTTACCTTGAAGCTTCTGGGGAAGAATTCGAAGATGATCTGTGTTTTTGAGGGGTGGGAGACTGGCAAGAGGGCCGCAGCGGGGGCGTATGGCGGGACCGGGACTTGAGGTGGGAGGTCCGGACAGCAGGCAGGGAACCCAGGGAGACGGCTGTCCTGCGCGGGGTCCCTCCGGTTCCGCGGCGGCGGCACCTCTAGGCCTCACGGCTGGACCTGAATCTCAGCGTTCCGGCGGCGGCAACGGTGGCCTCACGATCCTCCCCCGTGGGCCCGTCCCATCAAATCGGCACCGACCCCGTTGCGGCTCCGCCGGTGGTTCCGCGCTCACATTCCCGGCGGGCGGCGCCTCTGCTCTTTGCCCCGGACCTGGCGGCGGTGGCGACGACGTGGGGAGGGGGGGAAGGGAGGGAGGAAGACTGGATCCGCGGCGGCAGCAGAAGGAAGGAGGAGTAGGTAGAGCCGCTGGAGCTGGAGCCGCCGCTGCCAAAGTCGCCGTTCCTTAACCGCGGTAGGTCCCAGTCAATGCCCCTTTCTCTCTCCTATTGTCAATATCACCGGGCGGCTGAGTCCATGGCACACGCGCAACCGAACCTTCTGGCCAACAGCGCCCGCCCCCGGAGCCCACTCACTGGAGGCTTCAAACGGGAAGCAATGCGTCATTGGTCGCCTTGCGCCTTCACTCCCATGCCAGCACGTTCGGCAGAGAGCCGACCAGGGATTGGCGGCAGGGGGGCGGAGGAACAGGAGGGTGGGAAGAGCGGAGACCGAGGATTGGGCTGAAGAGCGAAAGACCCGGATGCAGCCTCGACCTCCAGCCCTGCAGCTGCCGCTTCCGCCTGGCGGAAGACGGCAGTCACCGCAACCGCTAAGGCTAAAAGGAGCTTTAAAGCTGGGAGGCGTGCGACTGACAGATCAATGGAATGGGTTTCCGCGCAATGCGGAACTTCTGGGCGGCGGTCGTCTTCACTCAGAGGATTCCAAGGGCCTTGATCGACTAAGGGTGGGGAAGCCCCGGGGCCTGGATTCCGCCCTCTTCAGCGGCTAGGGTGGCCCTTCTGGGTTCCAGGAACCCCACTCAGGACGGGAACCAGCGCTGCGTAGACAGAAATAAAGCCCCCCACCCGCGTCTGTGTAAATGGGCCCCTTGCAGCCGGCTGTGAAACCCCCGGCAATCGCTCTCGCTGAACCTTGTGGGAGACCTGGCACCGAAATCTGAAACCCTGGGGCCTGGCCAAGGGTTGGGTGTCGCATCCAGTTCTCTCTCACCTCGTATCCTTTTCCCTAAACCTCTCTTTTGAATATCAGCTCCCTGACGATGCTGCAAGCCTTGGTTGAGGGAGACTCAGTGTAGCTTACACAAGTGGGAATGCTGTCTCTATTCCCCGCAATCACTTATTGATACCCACCGCACCGTCCTTCCAGCTGCACGGAACTCAGAAATTCTCGCTCCAAACTGTAGGAGCTTGGGAGCTTTTAATTGGCCGGGTGGATCAGGAAGAGTTTATGAAGAAGCCTTGACTTAACTCTAGGTAGAACAAGTGCTAAAATATTCAGATACGCGTTTGCAGCCTTGGTGAGCCCTAGGCCAAATGGTGCATTTCCAGAAAATATTCCTGGTCGCTGACTCTATTTGAATGTATGCTAAATCCCTCCTTTGCAGGGAACAAGAAAAAGAAATTCTTAATGCTAACTACAAATGTCAGAGTACCGACTGTTCAAAACTTGGTCAATGGAAAAAAAAAAAAGAAGAAAATGAACATTCGTAATTGCTCACCCACTGTTAGCATTTTGGTGTACTTCCCTCCAGTATTTTTTTTTCTTTTAATATTGTGTGTGTTGTTCTGTAGCCTAGTTTCCCACCGCCCCCCCCCCGTATTATATCATGTTTTCCAAAGTTAGGAAATAGAACTATATATAAATAAAACTGTATATACCAGATGTGCAAGTGATGACCAAAAACTGCACTGCATTTCTCTTGTGTTAACTACCAAGTGTTGCATATTCCTATGCTCATTCCCAGAAATGGCTCCTGAGTGGAAAAAGAATGTTGTGTGTGTACCAAAGATGAAAAATATATATTCCCATTCTGAACTGAAATAGGAAAAGATGGCTTTCATAGATGAAAGCAGCCTCCCACTCCCCCCACCCCCCCTCATGACTCCAAATGATTGGCCACTTTTTTTAATAGTGCCCATTTTTGTTCTGATAAAGTTCATCACCAGGAGGCCCTGTAAAACTGGCATGAATACTAGTCTCCTACCTGCAAGAAACTTACATTTCCACATCTCAATTTCCTTTATCAGTCTCAGCCACCAAGAACTTGTTTGCTCAGTCTGAGTGTGGGTAAATGCAGAATTAAACCAAGGAAGATTTGAAAGCCAACTCAATTTCCCTTGGCAACAGTTGAACTGTTGAAGAGTAGTGCACGTTTGAAATGCTCACAGCTGTCGCTTAGAACATTTCACATTTTGTAGAGAGGAGATTTTGCTTGCAAATTACGGATCTCTGTAAAGACAATTCATTTCAAAACTGTTTCACTTTCTATAAAATGATGAAGTAAATGAAATGAGCAGGTCTTTTTAAATCAAAACATCCTTGCCAATGTGAGAAACTTCCTTGAACCAACAGTTTCTAAAGGCTGTTCATGCATCCCAGGGATGTACTCCAGAAATAGTGCACTATTTGTCAATAGTGCAAGGCAATCCATTTGGGATGCAGGACAAGAAAATATGGACATCTATTTTTGCTTAATTAAAATAAAAGGGAAGCATTAAGCTCAACTAATATACAGAATAAATATGTAACCCTGCACTCCATCCGTAGAGTGGTCTCTTGGCCTAAAATAGTATAGATGTCCTCAAGGAAAAGTGGGAGTCACCCATTCCCAGGGCTTGGCTCTGGCGGACCTACCCAGTCGGTCTCTGCCAACATGTAGTGACATATTGAAGTTTGCTGGGTGCAGTTAAGTGGATTCACTGGTTATGTTATCTAGGTTTCATTAAACTAACCCAAAGAAAACAGACTTTACCAGAGCCTTCTACAAGGAAACCACAGGAAAACAAGCAAATGACAGAACTGACGCTTTTAGTACCAGATCTTGACAGCCACATTTCAAAGTTAAAACAATCAAACAAATTTGGCTTAAAAATATTGAATTCATGAAGATTATTCAGAATTGAGTTTATACCCTCTGTCATTAACAATGAACTTCACCCTAAGCTTATAATGTACTTGAATTATAAGCTAATGATGCTAACACATATATACTTTATAAATAAATACACAGAGTATGCTCATATTTGGTTAAGAATTGCTCCCCAAGAATATACTGATGGGAATGAGTGATCAAAAAAGTAAATGGAGACTGCTATTGTAAACAGTACAAAATAAAATATATTCTAGCCACCTGTGAAGCCATTATCAAATGACAAAACATGGCCCATTACTATCTGATGGAAGCACCTACTTTCCAGCTATCGAGCCTGACCTTATCATTAATCTGCTGTCAGGCCAGCCAGGTGATGAGACTAGAAGACACTGACGATCAAATGGGGCTGACCGGTGAACTAAAGAAGGGCTAAGATAATAAGCAGAAGCATCATCAAACCCATTACCAACGAGTAGAGCAGGAAGAAACCCATGCTGGTAAAACACCCTCATCAGAGGTAGACTATCGCATGCATGTAGGAAGAGGAGGGTGCCTGAAGCTAGGTTTTGGCTGAAAGGGAAGAACGGTGAAAAAACCTGAGGCTGAGGCTGGAGATGCTCTTTCGGGTGACACAATAAAAGGAGGATGCACAACAGCTAGTGTGGACAAGGGATTTCTTTGAGCCTTATTTACCTACACAGGAACTGCCCTCAGCAGTGACATTTTCTGGAGTCATAATTTAAACAGTGCAGTTACATTTTCAGATGTGCCTCAAGGGTTGTAGGTTACTCATGGTTTTCCACACGATTAATGTGTATAATTATTGATTGAAGTTTAAAATATTTAGGTGCTGTAGTTCCCCACAGAGCAATGAGAGGTGCTGGGTGTTACTGATGGATCGAGACAGAAAGAGGAGCCCTATGTCACTGATGGGGAAGGAACATTGAAAAACAATTTAAAAAAAGGGGCCCTGGACAGGTGGTTCAGTTATTAAGAGCGTCATCCTGTACACTAAAATATTGGTGATTCAATCCCTGGTCACATATATAGATTGTGGGTTTGATCCCTGGTTGGGGCACATACAGGAAACAACTTAATGTTTCTCTCACACTGATGTTAACCCCTCTCTCTCTCTCTCTCTCTCTCTCTCTCTCTTTCTCTGCGTCTCACTCTTTCCTCTCCCACCCTTCCTCTCTAAAATCAATAAAAAGACATATCTTGGAGTGAGGGTTTAAAAACAAAGGGGGCCTGAATGGTGCAGCTCAGTGGATTGAGGGCGCACTGAAAACCAAAGGGTCACTGGTTCGATTCCCAGTCGGGGCACATGCCTGGGTTGCAGGCCAGGTCCCCAGTGGGGGCCACGTGGAGAGGCAACCACACATGGATGTTTCTCTCTTTCTCCCTCCCTTCCCCTCTCTCTAAAAATAAATAAATAAAGTCTTTAAAAAAATAAAATAAAATATTACACATTTGTAACCCTTCAATTAAAACAAAACAAAAAAACAGGAAGGAGAAAGCCAGCATCAACTACACTTTATTTTATACAAGATAAAACACAAAATAACATACCATAAGTAACAATTTTGCTTCTTAGATAGTCAAATTATACAACTAAATGAACTAAACGTATAACTAATTATAAGCATAAGGATGAGAACACAGACTGTGGATTCAGATACATCCAACTTGGGATCTCAGACCTGCCAGCCAGGAGCTGGGGCAAATTACTCAGCCCTCCCAGCTCTGGTTCCCTGGCCTACAAATGAGCAGCCTGACACTGCCTAAATCACGGGATAGACATCCTCTTAAATGAGGTGATGCGTTTACTGCAGTGCCTGGTACACGTTAACTACTCAGTGCTAGTTATACCCTAATCATCCACTTTCTTCATATTCTAATACTTCTTATCATCTAGAAGCTTTTCTGTAAAAGGTTTTCTCCCCCCCTTTTTTGATTCTGGTGTACCCCACTGTCACAGAAAGAAAACAAGGAGCAAGAAGGAATGCCGTTCAGTCCACTTCCACACTAAATTATAGAACTGTGGGGACCATTCATTAGCAATAACAGGGACATGCATTTTA